CCCTCCCTCGCAGCCCCTCTATTTGTGGTCATCTCCAAATCTGGATTTGATTGAGGCTACATGATGTCACGCTCACTGGGAACCTGAACCGACTGCCATAACAAGGCCGTGCGCGCGCGCGCGTTTGCGGCCATCCGGCACAAAGCGGAGGCGATGGCGTATGCGGCGCTTCCTCGCCTTATCCGGCAACGGTGCGGAATGAGCGCGGCTCGGCGAAGTCGTCGGATTCGCCGAGTCTTCCGCGGCCGCGGAATGGACGCGGCGCCAGACGAGTTCTGCTGCTGAGCGGCGGCCAAGTGGAAAGAAAGCGGACGGGGGAGGGGGGCGCGGGACGGCGCGCCAGAGTATTCGGAGGCGGAGCGCCAAAAGACGGAGAGCCGGGAGGATTGCGGCAAAGCCGGCCGGGAGCCACGCGAGGATCGCAGGGAGATTGGGGCAACGGGAGCCGGGGGGGGGGAACACAGCCGGGGTTCAAGGGCCGCCATGGCGGTCGCTGCACCTCCGATTGTTTGTTTCCAGGAAGAGACGTGCAAAAGCTCCGCCGGTCCATTCGGGAAGTTTTTCAAACGGGAATAAAGGCGGCGGCGGGATTCGCCCGATCTCCCGGAAGCAAAACCCTCCTGTCTCATGTGTCGCCAGACCGTCGCAGCCGCGGAGACGGAACCCGTCCGCCCAACGCCCACGAAAAGCCGGCCCAAACGCAGTCGCGCTCATTCGGTGTCGTTCGTGGCGCCGGCGCAAAGCAGGCTTCTTCTTGGCAACGGGAAATAAAACGTCCAGTTTGCAATTTGGACCGCGAGGTGGGCCACCTTTGTCCTGAAAACGTGTCGGCCAACCGAATCCAAGAGTCTTTGGAGACTTGGGCCGCAGCCGGGCCGATCAGAACTCTGGTTGATGGCCCACTTTTGCAATGATCCAAATCAAGTTCCTAGTCAAGGTTTCACCAAAAGTTATCGGCAACAACGAACGGCGGTTTGTCCAACAAAGTCCAAAGATAAGTTGAGGTCCGAAAGGTTTCCGGGAGTTGCGCGGCGGAAGCTTTTGTATGAGGACCGTTTGGTCCGCGGCCTTCAGCCGAAGCGGCTCTCATCTCACCCACTCGTCTTTTTGTTTTTGTGTGTGCGCGCAGGACTACCTGGGCTGCATCATCGAGTGCGACGCGCTCGCCGTCGACCCGGAGCAGGTCAGCGCTCTGTTTTGCAACGTCGAGGACATCTACGAGTTCAACAGGTACCGGAGCGCCGCGCCTCATTTGCATCCCGCGCGCACGCTGGCGCTCACCTCGTCCACCGTGGCGCCGCTACAGCCGGGAATGTTTGCTTTCCTGTTTTGTGACTGTTCATTGTCAAGCGCTGCTGCCGTTGGCCACGGCTGACTTTTTGCCTCACGATGGCCGTGACCTTGGACGCCCCCCCCCGACCGCTCGAAGCCGTTGCGCGCGAGCGAGAAATGCCGCTCTCGCAAACGCGGTCCGCAAAGGTAGCGAATGAGAGCGGCCGATTCGACGCAGCCCGTCGTTGAAAAGCGAGCAAATCTTGCAAGGAATTGACCTTTCTGGCTTGCTTGTGCCAACGCGCACACACGCATTGTGAACCCCCCCCGGCCCCCCCCACCCATAAGTGACACATTGAGCAACGCGCCAACGTGTGAGCCCAAGCGCGCGCGCGCACGCGCACACGCGCACGGCAAGTTTTCATTCCTTCCAGACTTCCTGCCTGTGGCTTCTCATGGGAACTTTTCTGTGAGCCAGCAAAGGAGAATGCGTGGCGTGGCGTGCGCGCGGGACTCTCTCGCCGTCCGTGTGTGTGTTGTGTCACAAAGTCACCCTCCAAGAATGAAAGAGCGTGCTGCACCAGCTTCACGTAGAAATCCCCCCCATTGCCCCCCCCCCTTAAAAACCTCAACTTGATTTCCTGCGGGGGGGAACACTTTGACCTCATTTTGTGCTTTTCTTCAACGCGCACGCAGATGGAGTCAACAAAACAAGAGTGGCTCCGAGTCTGTCTCTGTGTGTGTGTGAAAAGTAACTTGAACTGAAGGAATGGCGCCGATTTTGCGCATGCTCAGTCGTCACGGCATGACGGAGCTTTCGATTTGCTCTCTGCTTGCGTTCTCGTTGCCTTTGCGGCGCCTGTTCGCGCGGCGGGCTCGTCCCGCGCGTGCAATTTTTTTGCGGTCTGGTGCCCCCTGCTCCTTTGGGCGGCTTGGCGGCGTGCCGCTCGCCGTTTTATGGCGTTTCCATGTGTCGCCTTTCCGTCGTTTTGTCCGGGCCTCGCCTCCTCTTGCATCGCGGTGTCGTCTGGCGCGTTTTGTTCGGTTTGCTATCTTGTGTCGCGCCGCCGCAGGGAGTCGGACCGCCGCGCCGCATCCGCACGCGCACCGTATACTTAAGCGATGTGACGGCGGCCATTTTCCTTTCTCCAAGGTTGCAATTTGTCTTCTTTTAGTCGCGTCAACGATGGACCCGCGTCCCGTCATTTTCCCGCTGGCGATGGCGTGAAGACAAACACGCACGCGGTCAACGCTTGTTTGTCCCTTAGCGCACGTTGTGAACCTTCACATTCTTTATTTTGTATTTTGGAATCCATATTTTTCCACGCCCAGAATGTTCGAAATCCCCCCGAAACGCCGGGCAAAAGAAATGTGGAATGGCCCCCTGCTGACTAAACGCCTATGACGTTGACCTCGTCACGTTGACCTTCCGGGTCACTGAACCTGGAAATTGAAGAATCAGTTGCCGCACTTGAAAAGTGAAAATTCGCTTGCCAACCGAGAGGGGCGGCCGAGTGATTTCAGAGCGCGATGAAGAGCGACCGGCGGCAAGCGTCGACACTCTGAAACAGGGGCGAGCTCGCAGCGGGGCGCTGTCGTCCTTTTGCGCCGAGAAAAGCCAGCGCGCCGGGAGAAGGCCCTCGCCTTGTCTTCACGAGTCTCCGCAGCGTTGTGTTTCCTTCCTCCTCCTCCTCCTCCTCAGCGTCGTCCACCCTCCCCCCCGCCCCCCGAAAGAATGTCTTCTGGCCACAAACCGGGCCCGGCGCCAGAGGGGGGAGAGCGCGGGGCGCTTGTTCTTTGCGTGCCTCGTGAAGTGAGAGTGCGAGAGTCGCGCGCGCTCGGGAAACTCGTTGTCGGTGCGGGACCGCGTCCAAGCCAAACAGTGATGAGCTCGCGAGCCCGGTGATGTCATCGCAAGTGAGAGGCACCCCTCGCGTGGATGACATCATCACGTTTCCGTGACCGCGTCGGCCGGTCGCGGCCGACTGCTTTGCCGGCGCGCTTCGTCTTCTTGAAAATGCAGCCCGGTCGGGTCATGAGAAAAGCAACGAGTCGCAAAAGCCCCCGCCTTAAAAGCTACGGGAAGCCCGCCGTGCATTTTGCTTCCATACGTGTCACATTTGCTCTTCGTTTTTCCTCACAGGAAATGATGTCACGTGGGCCCAGTGGATAGTTGAAAGACAAGCGCGCTGGATTCATTGTATTTTCTGCCGAAGGCTCATCCCGCTGGGGTTGCGCCGCCTCACGGCCCCTTTTGAAAACATTTTGCGCTCCAAAACATTCTTGTCGTGTCACAGAGCTGCCAAAAAGACGTTTTTTTTTTTTGTTTGTTTTTTTTAATTGCAATCGTCTTCCACTTGAATGTTTTTTTTTTTTTTTTAATTGCAATCGTCTTCCACTTGAATATCGAAATGGATGAGAAAAAGAAATCGCCAGTTTGACACCTTTGCTATATGGAAATTTTGTCGACGTGCCTAAAAAGAAATCGCCAGTTTGACACCTTTGCTATATGTAAAATTTTGTAGACGTGCCCGTCATGAGTAGAGCCACCAAAAAGTGTCAAGAGGCCACAAGTCCACGACTTGCATTTCAGGTGGCCATTTTAAGATTCATTGATTATTCACTTGCTCCCAGCTAGAAAAAAAAAGTCAAACATAAAACTTGGGAGACATGTCGAACATGATTTGACCCACCAAAAAAAAAAAAATACATAGACAGGCTGGCAGCCAATTTCATGGAACAAAACTTGGAATTTGGTTCAGTTGTTGGGCTCGTGACCGTGTGGAGGCCTCCCCTGGTGGCGCAGGCGCCGCACCCGACAAAGTCAACTTGTCTCGTTTCTCCGCAGTGAACTGCTGGAGGACTTGGAGAGAAGTCAGCACGCCGCCGCCATCGCCGACTGCTTTGTGGAAAGGGTGAGGGCCCGCCCGCCCGCCGCGCATGTCCGAGTGTGTGCGTGCGTGTGTGCGTGAGCAGCTGAGTGAGTGTGCGTGCACGCGCGTATGACAGGAAGCAGGTCCCAACCAGCGGGTCATTGACTCACACACACACACTCACACGTCACTTTGTTGAATTTCTGATGCCGGGTGTCAGAGCGACACCCTCCGTTTGCATGCGCGTGCGTCCACGCCTTGTCCTCGGACAGGCTGACGAGCGCGAGGAAAACGTGAATCAAGAGACGAAGCCGATAAAAGGAGCAGCTTGTAAAGCGGAGGCGGTTGGCGGGCGAAACCACGTCCATGGCGGCGGATGGTAGCGCCACCGGAAAAGGATTCTTGGTTGACCCGTATCATGTCTTGCGTTTGCTTGTGTGTTGAACAGAGTGAAGCGTTCGACATCTACACGCTGTACTGCATGAACTACCCCAAGTGAGTAGCCGCCTCCATCTGTTTCCCGTCTGTTTGTCCCAAAAATGTCTTTGCGCCTCCTTCGGCTCGCCATCCGTCCATCCATCCGCTTTCCGATCCACTTTATCCTCACACGGGTCGCGCGGGGGGTGGTGCCGGAGCCAGTAGGCGGGGGACACCCTGAGCCGGTCGCCAGCCAATCGCAGGGCGCACGGCGACGAAACAATCACAATCGCACGGCGGGACAATTGAAACCTGTTTTTGGAATGTGGGAGGGAAGCAGAGTACCCGGGGAAAAGCCACGCAGGCCCAGGGGAGAACATGCCAATGCCACGCAGGAAGGCCGGAGCCGGAATCGAACCCCGCACCTTTGCACTGCGAGGCCGACGCGCGAACCGGTCGACCGCCGGGCCGCCCCCCCTTCCATTTTCCTTCAAGCCCAGAAGTTTTCCGCATCCCGTTGAAACGCCGTCGGCCCTCGCCGTCACCTCGGTTGACGCTCTGCTTCTCGCCTCACTGAAAGGGAAAAAAAACAAACCCAAAGTGAAAGTAGGTCAAATGCTTTCAGTCATCCAAACCAAAGAAAGAAAGAAAAGAAAAGAAAAAATCCGGGCAGCCTTTCGGAGCCGCTCCACCTCCACGTCCAACGGGAGACGAGATGGGAAACGTTTTGTGCCGCCGACGTGTGCAAAATCAACGCGGGGCTGAAATTTGGCCGAATGGCTTTCCTTTCTCGTTGCGTCCTTGTCGTGATCAGCTTGGATGACGACGTCCCAGAAACAATTTGACCCACCAGTCGCGCAGGCTGCCTGCATCGTCAGCCCGCCCCCTCGCACTCCGCGTCTTTCAAACTCTTTTTTTACTTTGGTTGAGTTGTTTTCTGCGTGAGAAACTTCAAGTAAATGTGGGGGTTTTTTTTTTTTTTTTTTGGGGGGGGGGGGGTTGCGCGTGTGAGAAGTCATCGGTCGTTGCGTCCCACTGGAGTCTTCCTTTCTCATTGCGTCCTCGTCGTGATCAGCTTGGATGACGACGTCCCAGAAACAACGCGACGTACGTGTCGCGCAGGCTGCCTGCATCGTCAGCCCGCCCCCTCGCACTCCGCGTCTTTCAAACTCTTTTTTTACTTTGGTTGAGTTGTTTTCTGCGTGAGAAACTTCAAGTAAATATGAGGGATGTTTTTTTTTTGGGGGGGGGGGCGCGTGTGAGAGGTCATCGGTAGTTGCGTTCCACTGCGGTTGGCACCTCGTATCCTGTTACGTGTCTGCCCGATGGTAACCGGTGAGCTTAAAGGTGTTTCTGATGTCGACACGCGGGTGCGTGCGTGCGTGCGTTCGCAGCTCGGTGTCAGTTCTGAGGGAGTGCATGAAGAACCAGAGGCTGGTGCGC